CTAGTCTTACACTGCTAAATTAGGGACGGCTAGCGCAGATAGCCCTCGTGTAGCTTTGCGCGAAATTCCAAAAAACAAACAAACATAGAATGTTAAGAATGCAAACAAAAAAGCTTTTCTTAACACTTTGATAAATCTTAGAAATTGCTAAATCTTAATTATGCTTGCATTCGTATCTATAAATGTGTGAACCAAACTTGTATCAATTTTGAAAAATACAAATGAGATATCACAATCAACTGTTTGTCGTTAATATTTTCATACAGGTGCTATAAGCTCTTGGCATTCGGCCAAAATTTAACAAAATAGAATGGATGAATTTTAAAGAGTAGAGATAAAATGTATATGTATTAGAAGAATTTATGCAGTTGTTGAAATCTTTGAATAAAATCACACACACACACACACAAATAAAATAATCTTCTTCAAACAGACTTTCCTACATTTTGAAAGGCAACTACATTATGTAGGTTTATTGACTTAACATTGGTTGATGAAGGATAACCAATGAAAGTATCCTGATCAATCAACAAAGACTGGATTAATCCAACAAGTCCTAGAAAATGTTTCTTCAAATCTTGAACTTCATCAAATAAAATAATCTTCTTCAAACAGACTTTCCTACATTTTGAAAGGCAACTACATTATGTAGGTTTATTGACTTAACATTGGTTGATGAAGGATAACCAATGAAAGTATCCTGATCAATCAACAAAGACTGGATTAATCCAACAAGTCCTAGAAAATGTTTCTTCAAATCTTGAACTTCATTTGTAGAATATGAAATTTTCGAGGTGCTTATTTAACTCAGAATAATTGGATTTACTAGTAATAACGAATCTCCGAATCAATCAAACAAATTATATAATTATTGGTTACAAATTAGAGTTTACACAAGATCCAGAAAAGTTGAAATATGATATAGGGATCTTTGTCTAATGAGCTGTGACTTCTTTTATCGATCAATATTTTATCACGCCAATGTTAACCACTCTCGCTGCTCTCTGCCTGTGTGATATCCAGA